CTGCACTCCAGCCGGACGACAGAACAAGACTCCATCTCAAAAAACAAACAAAACAAACAAAAAAGACTTTAATGTCATTTAACTTTTAAAAGTTTTTGTCAAATAATTTTCCATAGAAACATGTTTCAGAGATTTAATAGCCAGTTTATTTTTGTTCCCTTTTCAGATTCTGAGATTTAGAAAAAATAGAACCCTCTTTGAAGTCAGAATTGCACTACAAGCAATTCATTACTAAGAAGTAAACATTATTGAGAAGTTTGTTTAAATTGTTGAAAACGTAGAACTCTTGGGCTAAGTGCTTTGAAATTACCTTTGAACACACCCATCATTGACTGGACCAAGTACATGAGAAACTAGACCATCCCCTTCTTGTGAGCACCTGTACGAAGCGTGCACTTTCTTCCTTACAAGAATGCCTTCCCATGCCTTCTGGCACACAGATGTCTTCTGTTTCCACCAGTTCAAAGCAGCTTTATGTGGCCAGAAAGAATCCATGACTCAGTTTCTTCTATGCCATTGCTCACCACAGAGCTGGAAAGGATTGTTTTGCTGTGTTCTGTTCTTTGGTGTCACATGCAGGGTTTCAGGGACAATTGGCTTTCCCTCCTTCACAGGATCAGCCTGAAGAGTCTGAAGATCTGGTTCCCCAAATTTTTACCTATCTCTTCCTATCTTTGAGCTTTGATTGGGGAAGCCTGTTGTTTCAAGCCTTCTATCATAGTCTTCGTCACCTTTTGTTTTTACAGAGCATATAAGTAAGTTTGCTCTGCCACAGTGCATTTAATCCTCAGCCACAAAATTATTAATAAGACAACCCTCCTCGCTTAGATGTTCTTAGGTCCGTGCCTCGTCATTCCATCCAACTTGCCATCTCCCCTTAAAGCTGTTTTCCAGCTAGTCCTTGGTCCTTGGCCATCAATTTGCCTGGTGCATTTTGTACTAACCTCACTTGTGGGTGATTCTGTCATGATGAAACCTGTGGATATGACATGGCATTTGATCTGTCAGGGAGAGAATTGTTTTGGTTTGTTTTCATAGCCTAGAATACCAATAATGTCTTTACTTTAGGGACCATATAGGTTAAGAACTCCTTGGAGTAAAACTGACCAGAATTTGTATCCTGCTTTGGCCTCTTATTATCTGGTCAAATTTCTCAACTTCTCTGATTTTAAATTCCTTTATCTATAAAATTGAGATGATAATAACAGGGGTTGATGTGTGATACGGATGCTTAAATTGACTTAAAGGTTTAGCACTTTGCCTATAAATGCTCAATAAATTTTAGTAATTATTAAATAATAATGTTGAATAGATTGCTCTATTAATCTTTCTCTTCTTCCCTATTTTTTTACTCTTTTCTATGTATCTTTCCCTCACTTTTGCGCTCTCAGTATGCCAAAGGGACATTAATACTTTCAGTCAAATCCATAGGGCTTATGGAAAAGACTTATCTGCCAAGACTTGTCTTGGTTTGTTGTAACGACTTAGAGAAATGTATTATCGAGGACAAAAAAAGAAAAAAAAAATGTTGCCTTCTCAGATACGGACTCACACTGGCAGTCTCAACTGAAAGGTCTTCCCGTTTTAGGACCCTGCCCATACAGCAGCTCTTGCTCCACAAAGTCATCCAAATCCCTGGCAGCGCAGCGGGGCAAGGCTTGTGCTGCACATCCTCTAGTTAACATTCTCGTGGCAGATCAGGTTTCATGGGCCCACAGTGAGTCTCGCTGCGGAGACTGCTTGGCGTCTTGCATGGAGCAGATGAAAGCAGCTCTGAAGGGAAGCTGCTTCTCTGGCACACACAAGCAGAGCAGCGTATTCCTGCATTGCCCAAAGTGGTTCAGTTTCATTTAGCATCAGAGGCTCTGCCTTCTGGGAGGGAACAAATAATGGGGCCCTTTTATTTTTTTGTTTTTGAGACATAGTCTTGCTCTGTCATCTAAGCTGGTGTGGCACAATCTTGGCTCACTGCAATCTCTGCTTCTGGGTTCAAGCAATTCTTGTACCTCAGCCTCTCAAGTAGCTGGGATTACAGGCGTGCACCACTGCACCCTGCTAATATTTGTATTTTCAGTAGAGACACGGTTTTGCCATGTTGGCCAGGCTTGTCTCAAACTCCTGCCCTCAAGCAATCTGCCCACCTCAGCCTCCCAAAGTGCTGGGATTATAGACTTGAGCCACCATGCCTGGCCAATAGGGCCCTTTTAGACAATAAAATAAAGTACTTCTTGGCATCTGGAAAAGTTGATGTTTTGTTTGACACGAGGGCTCCATCTTTCCACACTTGTAAATTGAATGTCCTGTGGGTGATTGTGTTCTTTTTTAAAAAAAAAAAAAAACAAAAACAAAAACACAATGCTACCGCAAATTAAGATTGTGTTCTTAGGTTTGAGAGCATTTATTCCCTTCATTTTCACCCTGTTTTCACATTTTATGTAGAATGATGTCTTCAAATCTCATCTGAATTTAATTTCATGAACTACATGACACTTAGGAAATATGAGTTGATGATGATACTCTAGCTTTCTGCATTTTGTCATCTTTTCCATCTGTGCCACATATGAAAAATGTTAGATTTCTGTTCCTTGGCACATTGGCTGTTATGTAGGATGGACAAGATTAAAAAGCTCTTGCCCTTGACACTAACCAGGAGTTCTTCATCTGGGGTCTGTAGCCATCTGGGGGCTCTGTAGCAAGCTTCTTAGGACATCCATGATTTTCAAGGCATCTGAGGCCAAATAATGGTTAAGGATGATCAAATAGAGGGTTCAAGATCCTGAAATTGAACTAGATATATCTTCTGATTCAGAATTATTACGGTAGTGTTTTGGTTTTGGTTTTGGTTGTTTGCTTGCTTGCTTGCTTTTAAAGAAATTGCCTCGAAAAAAAATCTGTTTTAAAGCAAGCCTGTAACTGAACACCATTCAGCTTTGGTCATCTTAGGCACTGAAATTGTGTGTGGAAACCAAAGGAAAACAGGAGACTGCCATCTAGAGGCCTTAACAACAATTTGGTCCTAGGCTTCTCCCTACACAGAAGTCTTCGGCACCTTTTTTCCTCTTAAATAACTGCAGACCATAAACGTGTGTCAGTGACAGTTATAATCTGTACAGGGGCTGCTACGGTTGTGGCTGTAGCCTCACTACTCTGGAAACATAATTTTAATCAAGCTTAATATTGTAGATGACATTTACTTTATTCTATAAGAATGTAGAAGTCTTTAAGATGTACACTGCATTTGAATATACTTTTAATTATAAAGCAACAACAGATTAATGCCTGATGTAAGAAATCATTTTGATATAGGAACTTTGTTGTATTATCTTTTAAAATTAGAGTAAACTAAGACAGGCCCGGTGGCTCACGCCTGTAATCCAGCACTTTGGGAGGTCGATCAAGGTAGGCGGATCACCTGAGGTCAGAAGTCTGAGACGAGCCTGACCAACATGGAGAAATCTCGTCTCTACTAAAAATACAAAATTATTCAGGCATGGTGGCGCATGCCTGTAATCCCAGCTACTCGGGAGGCTGAGCTGAGGCAGGAGAATCACTTGAACTCAGGAGGCAAAGATTGCAGTGAGCCGAGATCATGCCACTGCACTCCAACCTGGGTGACAGAGCAAGACTGTCAAGAAAGAAAGAGAGAGAGAGAAAAAGAGAAAGAGAAAAAGAGCAGCCTTGTAGGCCCAGGACTTTGGATTTCATTCTGAGGGTTATGGGAAGAGGTTGGAGAAATGTAGACAAAGTGGTGATATGACCAAATGTATGCTTTGGAAAAATTCCTTTTGCCTCTCTATGGAAAATAGATTGTAATGGAGTGAAAATGGAAGCAGAAGGGCCAGGTAGGAGACTTTTGCAGTGGTGTAAGCCAGAGATGATGGTGGCTTGGATAAAGACGTTGAATTACTGGTTCAATGTTGAATTAATGTTGGGGAATTTGGATCTCCCAACAACTCCATGCACTATGGGGCAGTGTAGCATGTGATTAAGAGTACCAGGTGAAGAGTCAGGCTGTCTGGTTTGAAATCAGACTTAATAACCATGTGACCTTGGACAAGTCTCTTTACCTCTCTGTGCCTAGTTTTTGCTATTCCTAAAATGGGAATCATGATAGTACATTCCCTCCTAGGATTGCTGTGTAGGTTAAATGAGGAACTAATCATGGTAAAATGCTCAGAAGATGCGTTAATACTGCTGTTTTCGTGTCATCATCACTGCCCTCATCACAATGATTACTCCCGTATCACCCTCGGTACCCACAGTTTATAGATGAGAAAACTTAGAAATCCATGGTAGTTTTCGAAATCAGAATATAGGTTTCTTGATTGTGAATCCATTGTTCCTTCTGCAGTATAATCCGTAATATGAGCTCCCAGAGAAAAATTTCTGTTGATCTGAATATCTGTAGCTCACAGCTCAGTTTTACATACCTGTGACTGTTTAAATAACGTTGAGAAAATGATAAATAAGGCTAGCTGAATTCCAGGGCATAAGAAGTCACCTGTGGCTCTTTCCCCACACACCTTGTGCCATCAGAAATTCAAATTCCCTGAGTTTTGAAGAAGAGTATTGCACACCTAAGCCAAAAGCATTAGTATGCTCATGGTGGTACATTTAGGAAGATAAAACTGATTATCTTGAGAACCTTGTAAGATACTGAATCTCTTTAGAGGCCATTCTATTCTTGTGTTAAGTGAGGCCATACGTAATAGAAATAAATGAAATCCATGGATTATTCCCATACTTTTTCTGGTCAGACTTTTGGCGAAGGCATTAACCAGACTACCACATTCGAGTTTCTTTTTCTCCACCTCTCTCTGCCTTTGCCTAGCCCCTTCTGGTGGAGTACGCAACAAAATAGGTAAGGATTACAGAGCAAGAGAGACAAAATGAGAAGCAGGGATTTGGAGAGCCTCCCTGCTGACTTTGCCCCTGGTTCCTCTGCTCCCCTGGTGCCTCCGCTCACCAGAGACTGAAGGCAGGCTGTTTGTCCATTGCAGAATGTGAGCATTTGATCCGCCATATGCTGGTGTTAGACCCCAATAAGCGCCTCTCCATGGAGCAGATCTGCAAGCACAAGTGGATGAAGCTAGGGGATGCCGATCCCAACTTTGACAGGGTGAGCTGGGAACCGCTGCCACGGGGAACTCCTCTGAAGCTGCTGCAGCCTCCTTTGCATGTGATGGTACTCAGGCCGTGACCTGAAAAGGTGGACACTGGGAAGAAGCTATTGTGTAACGCTAAAGCAGCACATGAAGCGAGCAAGAAGGGATGGACAACCAATTGAACTGTTGGAGAATAGTTATCGGGGTTCCCTACCGTGTGCCCCCAAATTATCGTCTGTTTTTGGCTTCTGACATAGTACAGCCTGCAGTTCTGCAGCTTTCCTACCATGGGGATGTCACCTTCCTCTTGTCTTAACGTGCTCAATTCAGTAGCTTCAGTAGCGTGCCTTTATTTAAAGCACCGTGACCATCCCAGGTACTCCAGGGAGCTCAGGAGACAGTGGGATGTTATCTGTTCACAGCTGATCACTCAGGGCGGTCTTCCTTAGACTTTGTCTGAGGCCAGAAGCATCCCAAGCTAGAGGGCATAGAACAGTGTGGTCATTATATATGCTGTGCCATATCGATGTGGTTAATTGGAGGGTTGACAGCTTCCCCTTTTTTATGTTACAGTTAATAGCTGAATGCCAGCAACTAAAGGAAGAAAGACAGGTGGACCCCCTGAATGAGGATGTCCTCTTGGCCATGGAGGACATGGGACTGGACAAAGAGCGGACACTGCAGGTAACTCTGAAGGAGTGGAGAACAAAGTGGGAGGTAGCAGTTCTTCCTCTAACCTGCTTTTTCCATTTTTCTCCTTCTTGGGAACTTGGGCCTTTTTTTCCCTCCTGTTTTTCTTCCTCTGCCCCTCCCTGGGCCTTGGAAAGAAGGAAAGAAGGTGCTTTGGCTAATGTTACTACTGAAAGGGTTCTGGTCATCAACATGCCATTTCACCAGGGTTTTGTACTCTTTTCCCTTCTCTCTTGGTAGTCATTAAGATCAGATGCCTATGATCACTATAGTGCAATCTACAGCCTGCTGTGTGATCGACATAAGAGACATAAAACCCTGCGTCTCGGAGCACTTCCTAGCATGCCCCGAGCCATGGCCTTTCAAGCACCAGTCAATATCCAGGTGGGCAATAACTCCAGTGACCTAGTTCAGGACAAGTAACACCAGGGGGGTAAAGGTTAGCTGTTGCTCACTAACCCGAAGTCATGAGAGTTTCTTGCTCTTCCTTACCTCTGTCTCCCATTTGTCATCTCTTCTTTTGTCAAAGGCCAAAGATCTGGACCTTTTTTTGACAGAGAGGAGGGATGAGCAACAATAGTTGTGCCTTTTGTTTTTTTAAAGAAATAGCAAATCATGAGGCGCTGCTGTCCTCTCCACAGGATGCTTCCTTGTTGTGACTTCTAACGGCAGATGAACCAAAGCCTTTAGTACTCAGGGAAACATAGACTTTAGCAATCAAGACTACTTGGAAAGACTCATTATTTCCCTCTAGTGTTAAAGGTATGCACGTATATGTATGTACTGCTTTCCAGGCGGAGCAGGCAGGTACCGCTATGAACATCAGCGTTCCCCAGGTGCAGCTGATCAACCCGGAGAACCAGATTGTGGAGGCAAGTAGCGCAACCTGTGGGAATTGTCAGCTGAAACCACTCTCTTTGCCGTATCCTTGCTTCCCTTCCTTCTGATTTCTAATTCGATGGTGTTTCCCTCCACCTCAGCCGGATGGGACACTGAATTTGGACAGTGATGAGGGTGAAGAACCTTCCCCTGAAGCATTGGTGCGCTATTTGTCCATGAGGCGGCACACAGTGGGTGTGGCTGACCCACGGTGAGTATCTGGCCAGCAGCCCTGATTAACACCAGGGCAAAGAATTGTCACCTGACTTTCCGTGTCTACCCTGGCACATTTCCTATTACATCGTATCCCCAGAGGAGCTCTAATCCAGTGGCCAAGTGGACAAATGATACGATGTAATTTATGTGTGTGGACAATTAAAATTTAAATGAATAAGGATCCAAAATCCAACAACGCAACAGTTTCCCAAAGTGTTTTCCCAAATTCTTCCCTCATGGTGTTTCCTGATGCCTGCGCACTGGAAAAAAATGGACTGAAGGCTAGCTTGCCCCATGTTTGTTCCACAGTTAAAGACTCTCAACATTAGAATAGCCTTACCTCTTTTCTGGATATTTTCTTTGCTGAGTAGGAAGAGAAGCTTGTGGCAAGAATTCTCCTGAGAGGTCAACTCAGGGCAAAGCTGATTTTCTTATTAATGTCTCTTTTCTCCCAGTGAATTTCCAAAAAAGACTCCCATGCCTGCTGATGTGCTTGCCTTACGTCTCTTTTTCTCAACGTATGATCAAACAGGCAATAGGGGAGCATTCTGGCTCCACAGACTATGTCAGCTGCAAAGGGGCAGAGCCTTGAGTCACTCTATTAGTGGCAAGAGCTCTTATTTTAAAAGTATGCTATAAAACCCACTGTTGTAGCAAGATAGCCCTGTACATCTAGTACTTATCTGTCCTATCAGCACTGACAAGAGGATTTGCATTCTTTCCCTAGTGAATCAGATGCTACTTCAGGCAGCCATTATCTTAGTGGATGACCCACGTTCTCCAGAAACTTGGTGTTCACGTCCAGGCTTTGAAAACCTGACCTGGACTGGTGCCAGTATTTCCTCTTGGCTCAGAGCCCTTGGTTTGACACAAATGGCCAGTAAAGAATAGCAGTCTCTCATCCAAACAGTAAAGGAGCAGAGAGTTAAATTCCACACTTTAGGCTTTTGCTTTGATTTAGGATCTTAGAGAGAAACCTAAATTTGGGAAGAAAATAAATAAAATACAGTAAGTTGTACTGAACATAGCAATGCTGTCATTTTTGAGATATAAGCACTTTTGAGTAAGAATGTTAACCCAACTTCTCTGTCACTCTGTTTCCTATCAGCACGGAAGTTATGGAAGATCTGCAAAAGCTCCTACCTGGCTTTCCTGGAGTCAACCCACAGGCTCCATTCCTGCAGGTGGCCCCTAACGTGAACTTCATGCACAACCTGTTGCCTATGCAAAATTTACAGCCAACCGGGCAACTTGAGTACAAGGTACCTAGATATGGGAGAGAGCTGGCTCCAGAGGAAACAGACTTGAACTTCCTTTGAGAGACTTTGAGGGACCTTCCCTAGGACTTAAGGGTTTTCTTACAGAGAAAGATGATTTCTCTTGCAAAGCAGTTCGGGTGAGAAGGAAGCATTCTCTAGTCTCCATCATGACCTGTGGCTCCCTGAATTTCCGTAGATTAGTGTCTTGCCCCTTTCTCCCCACCTGCCCCTCATCTCATGGTCCGCCCTTCCCATTCTGCTCCTGGCAGGAGCAGTCTCTACTACAGCCGCCCACGCTACAGCTGTTGAATGGAATGGGCCCCCTTGGCCGGAGAGCATCAGATGGAGGAGCCAACATCCAACTGCATGCCCAGCAGCTACTGAAGCGCCCACGGGGACCCTCTCCGCTTGTCACTATGACACCAGTGAGTAGTAGCACAGAGCCCAATTTACTGTCTCAGAGGCTTTTGATAAAGAGGTTATGAGCCTAGGGTTGGGAACCCAGGGCCAACTTACATGTCCAAATTTCCTCTTTCTCCAAACTTAGGATGCTCCAGCCCATTTTCTTCAGGCCAGTAGACCTTTCCACAGTTTGTTTTTGGCAGACTTACTTAGCTGAGTTATTTCTACATTGAACTCTGCTCCTGGAGAGCTCCTTCTTCAGTGGGCGCTCACAGGTACCCTGGTTAAGTCCAGCTGCACTCCTGCCAGCTTGAGCCAGGTAGCAGCAGCCTAACTCACAGCCTTCTCCCAGGCAACCTTTCCCTGCGAAGGCAAAAGCGCCCTGGAATTCATTCATTTCTAGACTGGCTTCCAAAATTGCCTTCTCACCAACACTTTCTCCATTGATAAATCCCGCCTCACATTTTTGGCACAACCTGGATCACTTGATGATTTCCTTCCGCAGCTGTAGCCTAGTCAGTTTTTCTCTAGTCACATCTCCTTCATATGATGGGCACATTCAGAGATTTTTCTTCTCCCCTGGATTCTGTTTATTTCTGGTTATTTTCCTGTCATAGGTCCATTCATTTATTCATTCAATCTCGTAGTACAGTAAGATTGGGTAATAACTGTATCCATAACCCTTGGAGATATTTTAGGGCAGTGCCACTTTGAGGACCCTTTCCCTCCTTTAATCCATCCTTTGTAAAATATAGTGAAAGTGAATCATTAGAAAAATGAAAATTTAAAAACATTTAAAATACAAGGCTAAATTTTTTATTGAGTTCAGACAAAATTAGTCTGTTAAATTGCTAAAAGTTTCTCTTTATTTTTTTTCTGCCACTCTCGACTCTGCCTTTTTTTTTTTTTTAAATTTAGTTTCTCTTTATTTTTTTTTAATTGCTGAAAGTTTCTAAAAGGTTTTTTGTCACAAATTGGTAACAAAACAGTTTGTGGGCATGAGTCCATGGGCCACACTCTCAGTAATGAAAGAATTACATATGATAGCCCTTGGCATCACTGACAAGGTCAGTAGTACAAGATCATCTGTGATTAACTACCACAGTAATAACATGGAATATTAGGCAGCAGAGGCATTCAGAGATGGGCGAGGCAGATTTGGAAGGACCATGATCAGCTTTGTGGGAGGTGGGGTTACTGACTGTGTCCATTGTAAGTGTTTTTTGCCAGGGTCACTAACAGGTTCTTATTGATAAATCCAGTGGACATTTTTAACCTTTTATCTTTTTGGACATCCCAACTGTATTAATCACTGTTGACTCTTTTTTTCCTTAAAATATTTTCTGGTTTTGGTGTCTGTGGCACCACATTCTCTCTGTTTTCCCTCTGCCTCTCCTTTTCACGTTTCCTTTCTGCTTGCTCCTTAAAGTTGGCAAAACCCAGAGTTTTATCCTAGGCCCTATTCTTATCTCCCTTTCTGTACTCTTTCAGGGTGGGCGTGTTCACCCCCATAATTTCAGTTCCCATCTGATTCTCCAGCCCAGAAATGCTCTTCTGAGTTCTACACTTAATGTAACTATGACTACCTACTGGATGGATTTAGTTGGTTATCCCACAAGTATTCACAACTTTTATTCGACATGTCCCAAATGAACTTACCATGACTCTGTAAAACCTGTTCCTCCCCTTGGGTGACAGTGAATGGCACTGTCATTATCCTGGTTACACAAGTTAGGAATGTGTATTTTATCTTTTAACTCATCCCTCTCTTATTCCCCATATATCAAATCAGTTATCCAGTGCCTGTGAGTTAAACATCTTATTTCTCCACTTCCCTTTCCTTAACTCAGGTCACTTGTCATCCCTTGCCTCGATTGACACAGTGGCCTCCTAACCGACTTCCTTGCGTCCAGTTATGGCCCCTGATCCCTGCCACCAGCCCTTTTCACACTGCAGCTGAAGTAAGCTAGCTTTTGGAAATACAAATCTTGTAACATCATGCCCCTGCTTAAAATCCTTTAGTGATTCCCCACTGTTCTTCCTCAGACTTCTTAGCATGTTATTCAAGGCCGCTTATAACTGGCCACAGTGTTCCTCTCCTGCCTCATCTACAGCCACTTCCTGCCTCACCCTGTTCACTCCACCCTTGTAGAACTGTGGTAAGGGATCTGGAAACTCTAGGAGCTTTCAAACAAAATTATTCCAAGAGGGTGTTGTTTTGTTTTGTTTTGTAATTATCCATTTCGTACAATGCTCTTTTATAATAATTGAAGTGTGATTTTTGTCCTAGTGGCTGAGGCATGGCGATTATGTGGGCACCTAGGCTGGGGGTAGCTAGCAAGGATGCAGATGGGAAAGTCGCAGTGATGCATGCATTATGGTGGCTCTCGTTTCACTCACGTTTTGGTGGGTAACAACTATTTTAAAGCATTGAATTGAAACTACACAATTGTATCTCTTATGTACTAAAATGCAATTTCAGTAATTCACTGTGTTTTCTTGGAGTTAAGACATTTAAACTCTGGAAATAACAGTAATATGAAACAACAGGTCAACTCCTAGACATTCCAGGTAAACAATCTTCTACTATATTTTCAGGTCCTCGAACACCTGCAGTCCTTCTCTTTTCTTCAGCTTGGAAAGCTGTAACTCCTGTCCCTCTTTGTCTGGCCAGTTCCTATGCATCCTTCAGGTTCCTGCTAGGTGTTACCTCCTCCAGGATGCTTTCCTTCATTCCCAAGCACCCCCGTGACAAGACTTGGTCATGCTATTTTGTAATTGTCTGTTTGCTTTTCTCTATCCTCTACTAGACTGTAAAATGAGGACAAGGTCTGTATCTGTAAATTCACATTTTATTCTGTAACATAGTAGTGATTCAGCTATTTATTAGATTAATAAATAAATGAATGAAGATAAATAAGTGGAAGACATTCTAAGTAGGATTACCTAAGCAAGGCGAACGTGGAAAAATAGGTATATGACATCCGATATAACCCAGGGGTCCTAGAAAAGTTCTGTAAACAAGAAAGTCAACAGAAAGTCCCACCCCAAGCCCAGTTACTAGAATAAGAGGCATTGTAGAATAAGCTGCCACCTTGAGCTTTTCCTTCCTGTCTCTCTTCAGGCAGTGCCAGCAGTTACCCCTGTGGACGAGGAGAGCTCGGATGGGGAGCCAGATCAGGAAGCTGTGCAGAGGTAATGTGACATCTGGCAGTGCTTGCAGAAGTCCTTGGGCAGACTCCCCCTGCAACCAGCGAAAGGTCACCTCTGCCCAAGGAGGTGGTACAGTGCAGCTTCAACATTTGTGTGGTCACTTTGCTCAAGCCAGATGGCATGTTCCTCCCCACATGGAAGTAACAGAAGACTACCCAGAAAATGTCTTTTCTGTAAGCACCATTGGAAGTCCCCTAAGTGACAGCAATAACCATAAGAACTTTTTCTTTCCTCCCTCCTTCCTTGTCCCCTGCCTTCATATTGCAACTCTGATAGTATTCACAAGGCACAAAGCCTGCTCCTACCTGCCAAGAACTGTTTACTGAAAAGGAATTGGAGATTTGGGATGACAGTGATCCTAGCTAGTCTGGCCATGGACCTCTGGCATGGACTCTTTCTTTCCAGGAGAATGAATACCTCTTGTACTGTTTGCTGTGTGCTTCTTCCACCCCTTGTACCAATCAAGAGATCTTGAAAAAAAGAATATGGGATTCGGGCCAGGGACAGATGCAAATATCCATTGTTTTCAGAACCTTGTTGAGAGATGCCTAATTCACAGAGAACGGCAGTGACCATCAGGCATGCTATGCTGTACTGTTCATTTGGCCTCAGTTCCATTAGCCCTGCTCCTCAGCTCCCTGCATGTCCCCTTGTGGGAGCTGATTTTCTTATTATCCGGGAGGGGGTTTCACCAGAATCCAGCATGTATTTTCCCAGAAATACAGGTGTTCTTCAAGATTATATGTTTTTTTCCTTTGAGGGAAGTTGAAATAAAATGGTTTTCATGGGCTTTTGGGGGAACTTTGGGTGTCTTTATCAAATGGTTATTAAAGCACTAATGGCTTACTCTTTGGCAAGTTCACATAACACTAATTACTCTACAGCCTGTTACCTGATGTCAGCTTAAAGGGGCAAGGTAGTTAAGAATAAAATGATTCCATTTTTTAAGAACCTGACAGTTGCTGGCTAGGACTCTCATCCTACCCCCAGTAGCTCTGTATGAGAGCTGCTATTCAAAAAGCAGCTGGTCCGATGTGGAAGGAAAACCATGGCAAACAGTGGCGTTGGCAGGTGGATCAGCTCCTTCTACAGCTTGGCCAATAGAAGGAAAATTGTGGTAACTTTTTTTTTTCCTTGATGCTGTTATTTCTATAGTTTGCTGATAACAGGGTATATACAGTTACAAATGGGCCCTGCTGGGTCATGAAGAATGAGAAGTCAGGAAATTTACTGCCTTTCTACCTTAAAAGAGACAGCAACGTTTTATCTTCTTTGTCTTAGACTTTCCTTCCTCCAGGCCCACCTTCTTTCCTCTTTAGACCAACATTTCAAGGGTATAATGCCTATCAGTTTTGATGTAATAAAAAGGCATAGTGCCTCTTTTATTCATGCCCCAAGAAGAGCAGCAGCGGTGGAGGAAGTAATCCACCAGATGAAGAGGGACCAATATCTTATTAATGGTATTGACTAAGTGGTGGGTCTGAAAGATCTTCAGAGGAAAAGCCATCAGCTTGTGAACTCTTTGTCTTTTGAAACTCTTCTGTTTTTATTTTTTGCCTTGCTTTTTCCCCCGAAAAACAATTCTCAACATTTCATGTCGTTTTATTTCTTCATCCTCTACGGAATGTTGGTTCCCCAAGGACAACATCAGTTTTTCTTCTCTGATGCTTGAGTTATAGTCACCGAGAGAGAGGGAAGGGGTGGTTTTGGAATTCACTTATCCCCAAATGGAGGGATCAGTTTTGTGTGACCTGTATAGTAAAGACAGTCTCAAACCTGGGGCTTATGAGATCAAGAGACATACACAGAATCCTTCTGAATATCTCCCCAGGTTCATCTCTAGGAATAGTCCTTAGGGCTCATTCCTCTGACTTGTATTTTAGAAATTTGGAGGGAAAAGATGAATAAATTAACATGGAGAAAATAAATTCTTCTACCCAATAGAATGAAGCAAGGAAAAGTGATCTCATCTTTGTGAGCTAGATCTGCTTTCTGTCTTCTCTTCAACGACTATTCTTAGGTTCAGAATTCAGCCATTTCGTTGTCAAGCCAGCTTCTGTTGGCCAGCCGGACATGTTTCACTTCCATCCAGTCAGGGCTCTGTTTGCCATCGAGCCCTTCGTGAGCTCTGGCACAATCTCACTGAGTGCTTTGGATTAACTTCTAATGCTTCTTGTGGAGGAATATTCCTGTCTGTCTTTTTTACTATGAAATGTGCTCCTGCTTGTTGCAGGTACTTGGCAAATAGGTCCAAAAGACATACACTGGCCATGACCAACCCTACAGCTGAGATCCCACCGGACCTACAACGGCAGCTAGGACAGCAGCCTTTCCGTTCCCGGGTCTGGCCTCCTCACCTGGTACCTGATCAGCATCGGTGAGTAGCCACATGAGCTGTGTGAGCTCCTTGAGGCTCATCGGACAGGCACCCTTCTGATTAGTCTCACAGAGATGGTGACTAGCATCGTGGCTTTAAATTGAAGCCAGCTGTCATCCTGAACTCACATCTTCTCAGCTCCTCGCACTAAGCAATGCACAGGGCAAAGGTTTTTTACTGCACCCTGGAGCAATGCGAGATTCCTCTCTCCCGTTACCCTGCAGACCTGTTTATTGTCTGCATTTGATTCCCGTGATTCTAGATGTTGATTCTTAGATAAAATTGAACTTTCCTGCAAGGAAATGAAACTCTCAGAATGCCACCTGGAAACAGGAAGATTTGTAGCCATATCGATAGACTTGACCTTTAATAATCCATCACCTTCAAAAGAATGAGCATTTCATATCGTGTTGCCATTGAACCACCAGCTTGGAAATGAAGACAAAGCCCCTTTTGAACAGTAGAGCAGAGATCCTCTTGAGTGAAGTAGTTAAGAGGTCATTCTTTCAATACTCTGATGGCAGAATCTTTTGCTAGGTTCCATTACATTTATAATCCATTCTCTTGAAGAAATAAAAGCAAGTTTAACTTTCCTGGCCAAGAAAACTTCATTGACTCCAAGTAAGCCTGGAAGCAGGTGTGGAATGACACTTTGCTAGATGGAGAAGATTATTATCTTCTGTAAATACCTTGATGACTAAAAATCTCAGTCATGTCCAGTCTGAAGCCATCCCCAAGCTCATGGCCCACACGTTCAAAGCCACCATCAATTGCTAGAGCGTATTTAATCTCTGTATTTGGGGGAAGACAGTGAAAAGCAGCCTTGGGAAGGTTGAAAAGCAATCAGATTCCAAAGAAAACAGGTTTATATATGTGTTGTTGTGAAATCTTGCAACCAGCTCACACTGGCAAGCTTTATTGTGGCTGGTTATCCATTTGGCATCAACATAATCAGCAGAGGCAGGTGAACTCTGAGCAGACTGAGACATAATTAGTGCCACGTTGGAACCCTAAAAGAAGGAAGATAAGTTTTTATGAATGACTGTGAGTAATTTAATCAAAATGGTCTGTTAGGAGAAGCAAGAATGACGATTCACAGATAAAACTATGATGTCACAGAAAAACAGGCTTTTTTCTAATGAAAATCTCTCAGGACCTACAATGTTCATGCACATTAAAGAGCACTTGGACCATCATGGCATGTGTATACCTATGTAACAAATCTGCACGTTCTGCACATGTATCTCAGAACTTAAAGTATAACAAAAAATAAATACATACATACATAAATGCATAAATAAATAAAGAGCACTTTGAGTGACTACTGGAGAGCTGCCTTCTCCTCCCCTGTACGTTCCCTGTGACTTGTCATAACTTTGAGCTCTACACTGGTATCTAATAGACCCTTCATTCCTTCTTTTCTCCTTGTCTCCATCTTCCCTTCCTTCACAGCTTGACACTGTGTTTTAGCCCTTGTTCGAGTCTGTTGTTTAGCTGAAGTCCTTTAGGTATTCTTGTTGAGTTCTAGGTGTTCCTCAGGAGGTCTTCTTTTAAGGAGAACATGAAGATCAGCACATTTCCAGAGTCAGGCTTTATCACAGACCCTATATTCTATTGACATTTCTTCCTCAGGAAGGACCACATTGGCCACCGCTCTGTCTGTGTGGTGTCCACCCTGCCTGGAGTCATTGTCAAGGCCTTGCCTGCTGGAAATCTGTCTGCTGTCTGGTTACATGTGAACCTTTTTGGTGCTTTGAGGGTTTCCTGTGTTCAAGCCTATTTGAACTGGAAGAAAATGAATGTTTAATGAGGGGCAAATTGCATAAGGTGGGGCATTTGCGCAAACCCAGCATGTCTTGTTGGGATCACTATACAGATATGCAGCAAAAGAGATTAAAGCCAGTCTTCAGGGGAAATGACAAACTTTCCAAGGCTATAAAACATGGAATATGGGTGGCCTGGATGGGTTCTTGAATTCCTTTCATTTTCTGGAGTAAATGATTAAAGAACAGTATATATAACTATCCTTCTGGGGTAGAAGAGATGAAGTTCAACATGGAAACAGAAGACGGGTCTAATCAACCTTTTCATATCTGGAAATGTGTAATTTAAAGTTAAAAATGCTTTAAAAAGTGTAACTAAAAAAAATTTTTTTTAAACTAACAAAAGATAGATTTTATCCAGGTGGGGAACCAAGTCCCTGTTTGGAGAGTATAGTGTGGGAATATCAGCCTAATGCAAGGCCGTCGTGAATTTGAATGTGATTGCAAATACAAATAAAATCAAGCACAATTGATACTTAACAATGCTTCTCAAATGAACAGCTACGTCAGAACTGTTCCTCTGAGGTTATTGTGCTGGACTGACCTGGGTATCGGTCTCTTCACAACCTGAGCTTCTGAAAAAGTCATGAACTACCTGGACCTGGGATTATTGCTCTGATGGGAGAGAATGATTTTTGTGCAGAAAGACTGTATTGGCTGCTTGAAGAACACAGCTTTCTGAGGTGATCAGAAACGCATCCATTATCAGAAAACATTGAAAGCATAGGAGTCAAATTTTAGGAGAAAATAGTACTTGCTTGCTTTAACTCAAAAAACCTGAAGTAGAAACAGAACTGACAAGTTACAAGGAAATGCTTCTGAACACAGCTTTCATGATCCCTGTTCCTGGATTGTGGCCCTTCCCAAAGTCATTTTTTTTGTGTGTGTTACTGAAACAAATACATGTTCGTGCTCATTTCATTAGCTCACTATTGATTGGGTCAAGCCCCAGGTAGAGTCTGAAACTAAAGTCATCATTAGCAAAGAGAGGGTAAAAGGCTTTCACCTGCTGCCAGAACTTTCTGGATACCTCTGCACCATTATGAGATTCCTCCTGGTCCCACGCTGTCTGCATTGTATTTGAACTCGCTTGTTAACCTGCTTCCTGAGCTGTGGTTCTGCTTCAGTCCCGAATGAATCACTGGCAAGGTGGCACATCATTTCATCCAAAGTTCAGTGCAATGGCATCTCTGCCCTGGACATGAAACCCTGATCCTTTCCATCTGCTACTGGAATGCTGCCTTGGCAGTCTTTTATCTGCTTACCTCAACCCATAAACATCTCTTTCTGATCATCAGGTCACAAGTGTAGGTGTTAGCTTTGAACCCTGATGCTGTCTTAGGCATTCCTTATGAGTAGCTTGTTCTTTCTTTCTGTAAGATTCTGGCTGTGTTCTGACTGAGCAGTGGGGTCTTTGAAGGTAACCCATATGATTCCTCTTTCATTAGGAGGTTGGGCGAGTGCTGCTGCTCTGAGAAGTTGATTTTCACAGTAGGTGACCTTATTTGTGTTGACCAGGTATGTGCAGGATCTCAAGGCCCACATTCCTTAAGAATTTGCTGTCTCCATCCCAGGATCAGAAGTCTTCATTTTCTCCCACCCCCAATCTCCACCTTCTATTTTCTAGCACAGAACCTGTGAGTTCCAGGCTAGGCCTTTGACCACAAAACTGACTGTTGTTTTCCTCTGGTCATACAGAGATCATTGCTCAGAGAAAACTTTGGCTCAAATGGTGAATTTAAGGTTTCAAAAGGCACTAGATAGAGACATGATTATAAAAGAGCAAGAGTTCCTGTACAGCCTGCCCTGGAGGATATTAAGAACTTTACTGTCTGGCCTAGGTTTTTTTTGTTGTTGTTGTTGTGTGTTTTTTTTTGTTTTTGTTTTTTTTTTGTTTTTTTTTTTTTTGAGACGGAGTCTTGCTCTGTCGCTAGGCTGCAGTGCAGTGGTGCAATCTCGGCTCACTGCAACCTCCACCTCCCAGGTACAAATGATTCTTCTGCCTTAGCCTCCCGAGTAGCTGGGACTACAGGCGCATGCTACCACGCCTGGCTAATTTTTTTGTACTTTTAGTAAAGATGGGGTTTCACCATGTTGGCCAGGATGGTATCGATCTCTTGACCTCATGATCTGCCCACCTTGGCCTCCCAAAGTGCTGGAATCACAGGCATGAGCCATCACGCCTGGCCTCTCTGGCTTAGTATTTTTATAAGAACCAGACGTACTTGATCTCAGGACCTTCCCAGGCTTGGAAAGTAAGCTAACTGAAGGTAAGTAGAGTTGGAAGACGTTCACCTGGAGCCCTCTAAAGGGAAGCAGGCTAGACAAACGACCAATGTCTGGAAATGGCATGGAAGTGGCATAATATACAGGGCTACCCGGGCAGCCAGTCATCTTTATGTTCTTCTGGAACAACAGTCCCTGTGTGATTTTGTCAAAACCCCTGAGTCCTAGCCTCTAACCTTCTCTTCCCATGTATTCAGCTCTACCTACAAGGACTCCAACACTCTGCACCTCCCTACGGAGCGTTTCTCCCCTGTGCGCCGGTTCTCAGATGGGGCTGCGAGCATCCAGGCCTTCAAAGCTCACCTGGAAAAAATGGGCAACAGCAGCAGCATCAAACAGTTGCAGCAGGTAATGGAAGAGGTGGCAGGCATCCCTGGAGGAGCATGGGTGACAGAGGCCAGGACTGCAGGAGGACTGGGGTGGTAAACATATACCCCCTTTTATATCAGCAACATTGCAGTTTTATAGGTTAAAAAAGTATAGCTTTTTGGGCCAGATGCAGTGGATCCCGCCTGTAGTCCCAGCACTTTGGGAGACCAAAATGGGAGAATTGCCCAGGAGCCCAGGAGTTCCAGACCAGCCTAGGCATCATGGCGAACCCCTTCTCCACAAAAAAATTAAAAACTAGCATAGTCCCAGCTACTTAGGAGACTGAGGTGGGAGAATCACTTGAACCTGGGAGGTGGAGGTTGTAGTGAGCCAAGATTGCACCCCTGCACTCCAGCCTGGTGACAGAGCCAGACTCTGTCTTAAAAGAAAAAGAAAGTATAGCTTTCAAATGCACTTTTATTTACTTTGTGTTATGTACAGCCCTCCCCAGGATCCAACTTGCTTCCCTCATGAAGGGACTAAATTTCTCTACTGTCTGTAGTTCATTGGAAAGAAATTTCTGGCCTTGGGTTTCTGTGGAAGGCACCAGAGACGGTACTTCTTTTTTTTTTTCTTTTTCTTTTTCTTTCTTTCTTTTTTTTTTTTTTTTTTTTTTTTTTTTTGAGATGGAGTCTTACTCTGTCTCTCAGGCTGGAGTGCAGTGTGGCGCAACCTCCACCTCCTGGGTTCTAGCAGTTCTCCTGCCTCAGCTTCCCAGGTAGCTGGGACTACAGGTGTGCACCACCATACTGGCTAATTTTTGTATTTTTAGTAGAGATGGGGTTTCACCACGTTGGCCAGGCTGTGTCTCGAACTTCTGACCTCAAGTGATCCACCCGCCTTGGCCTCCCAAACTGCTAGGATTATAGGTGTGAGTCACCGTGCAACCCTGGCACTCCAGTCATGATTTAGGGCACTGGGTCTTTCTTAAACTCGCTGTACATTGTTACTACCTGCATTCTCTCCAGGTGGTATGGAATGGCACTTCCAGAGGAAGGAAACGTACCTCTATATGTTTCTATACTATAAAGATTCTATAAATAGCCAGTTTCCTTTCTGCCTTCGTGATGACCAAGTTTCCAGTGGCATGTGCTTTGTACACAGATTTCACATTGGACACCTTTACTCATACAGAGGCCATTCTTGATGTTTTCCATTCATTGATACAGAACAGTGTGTGAATATATTTAGTGCACCAGATACCTATATAAATGAGTTAATTGCTCATCAAGGACACTGTTCTCTTGTGGCTCTTTCTGCCCATGAGACCTTGGGGGAAGATCTGCACCTGCTGAGATCACTGCATGGGGTGGGCCTGGCTACATCCCATCTGTATTAACTACTGTCCCTTCAGGAGTGTGAGCAGCTGCAGAAGATGTACGGGGGGCAGATTGATGAAAGAACCCTGGAGAAGACCCAGCAGCAGCATATGTTATACCAGCAGGAGCAGCACCATCAAATTCTCCAGCAACAAATTCAAGTAGGCCCTCACTCTTTGCTGTCTCCAACTTGTTTGGAGTTTGCTTTCAGGCTGATTTGCCTGTGCATTTTGGAGGAGACCACTCAGGGCAAAGTGGATTTGAGTTCTATTTATGGTTGACATGTTTGAGTGAAGGTAATCAGACCTTCTGGTGAACAACGAAACCATAAATCTGAGTCACAGATAGTTCTTTCTGTTTCTTCCCTTCCTGAGAATAGCTCTGAGTAATCTTCAAGCTCACAATAATTTTTTTTCCTTTCCCCATATACGTTTTAGGACTCTATCTGTCCTCCTCAGCCATCTCCACCTCTTCAGGCTGCATGTGAAAATCAGCCAGCCCTCCTCACCCACCAGCTCCAGAGGTAATGAATCATTTTGTGTTGTGCCTAAGCCATTGTCTCCATAGCATGGTACCCTTGGCCTGACTCACTGGGAGATATGGACTGACTTGAGCATTCGTTTTGCAAGAATCTATTTGAAAAGAAGATAAACCAGTGTAAATTTCAGGACCCTTCTTGGAATCCCAACTTCCTGTGCCACTTCATTTTCCTAGTTCCGTGAGCAAAGTAATCTGATACCTAATACAGGAGGCCAGACACAGACCCACAGTGAACTCTGCCATTTTGGCTGAGAAGTCTAGTCAAACGAGATGGGGATAGGTTTTAAATAGACTGTGGTGGATGGCTTATGTATATTTTTCTAACATGAAGCCTTATGAAAATAAAAAAAAATAGTTTCCACTTATGTATGTCATATGGCTGCAACTTAAGATCGTACTGTCACCTTAGGAAGCTTCTTTATGTATCTCTTTTGTTATTTTTAAGGTTAAGGATTCAGCCTTCAAGCCCACCCCCCAACCACCCCAACAACCATCTCTTCAGGCAGCCCAGTAATAGTCCTCCCCCCATGAGCAGTGCCATGATCCAGCCTCACGGTGAGTGGAGAGGTTCAGACTAAACAGTTCATTGTATGCCACATGGGAAAAAATGATGGTCTCAGTTTTGAGCACCACAAACCATTTGAAAGGCAGAATATCATAGTATTCAGGGGTATGGGCTCTAGAGCCAAGCTGCTTCGTTTTGCATCCTGGTTCCACCAATTTCTTAGCTGTAAACCCTTGGCTAAGTTAACTTGACTTCTTGAATTAGTCCATTTTCACATTGCTGTAAAGAACTGACTGAGACTTGGTAATTTCTAAAGGAAAGAGGTTTACTTGACTCACAGTTCCACATGGCTGGGGAGGCCTCAGGAAACTCACAATCATGGCGGAAGGAGAAGCAAGGCATGTCTTACACGGTGGTAGGAGAGAGATTGCATAGGGGAAAGTGCCAGACACTTACCAAATGACCAGATCTCATGAGAAGTCCCTCACTATCATGAGAACGGCATGGGGGAAGAAACCACCCCCATGATCCAGTCACCTGCTGCCAGGTCCCTCCCTCAACACCTGGGGACTACAAGATGAGATTTGGGTGGGTACACAGAGCCAAACCATATCACTTCTCAAATGTCAACTGAGGATAATTATGGTACATGCTGTACCATAACTGATCTGGCACAAGATGGTTTTCAACAAACGTTAACTATTTTTAATATTTTCAATCAAATCTCCAGCCCTGCCGAATAAAAAGCAGCTACCAGAATCTTCCTTACAGTCATGCCTCCATTTGGCTGTCCACTATGCATGTGGGCCCCTCTCTTGTGGGTGTATAGATGAGAGTGAAGATAAGTATACCGTGACTGTGTGAGTCTTCAGAGGTCAACCATCTGAGGATCTCTGGAGTAACACTCCCCAAGCTACGTTCCTCATCAGTCTCCCTAGCATCCTTGAGAAGAGTCTGAATTGGCCTTTGGGCACTTAAAGTGGGATCCCCCAGCCACCAACATTGACAGAAAAAGTAAGATCTCAGGTTGTATTCCAGACCTGCTCAATTGGAGTGTGCATTTTTAACCAGATGCCAGTCCATTTGTGTGCATGTGAAAGTTCAAGAAGCACTGCCTAGATCTGAGTTACCCAAAGTATAATCAATCCATGGACCGCTTTTAGAAAAGGGAGCTGGTTGGAAACACAAATTCTTGGGGACCCACCCTGACCTACCAAATCAGAGTTTGAAACAGAATTATGTAGATGCGGCCCAGGAATCTTCTGTTTAATGAGTTCTCCAGATTTGTCTTAGGCACACTGCAGTTTGAGAAGCACTGTTCTAGCTGGTATGTGGTTTGAGTATCCTCATCGGCTCTCATTACTCCTCGCTGGCTGGTGACCTGGGCGCTTGGTCACTCTTGAGATTCCTTTCTCTCCAGGTGCTGCATCTCCCTCCCAGTTTCAAGGCTTACCTTCCCGCAGTGCAATCTTCCAGCAGCAGCCTGAGAACTGTTCCTCTCCTCCCAACGTGGCATTAACCTGCTTGGGTATGCAGCAGCCTGCCCAGTCACAGCAGGTCACCATCCAAGTACAAGAGCCTGTTGACATGCTCAGCAGCATGGCAGGTACCGCTGCAGGATCTAGTGGGCGGGGCATCTCCATCAGCCCCAGTGCCAGTCAGATGCAGATGCAGCACCGTACCAACCTGATGGCCACCTTCAGCTACGGGCACCGTCCCTTGTCCAAGCAGCTGAGTGCGGACAGTGCAGAGGCTCACAGGTAAGACCGCCTAATGTCACCCAGCCATCTATGCATGGGATCCAGGTGGGAGGAGGCCCCTTAGCAGGGTGAAAGAAAAGGAGGAAGGAGAATGGGTCTGATTAAGCTGTGCTCTTGTTTCACCCTTTATAAAATCACGATGGTGAGTTTGGGATGAACTTGTCAGCTTTTTATTGACGCAGGGCTAAAATTCTAAAGAGACTGAGGTGGAAAATGAGAAAACTGCCTTATTATTTGCTTACAAAGAAGAAAATGGCCTATTAGAGGAGTGTAAAAAAATGCCAGTTCCCCTTTTCTTGAAGGAAGCATCTTGAAGTTGTTTCCTTCAAGGTGAGCTAGATCTATTACTCACGCAGTGCCCTTAGTCTCTTGGAGGTTACTGGACAAGCCAATAATGGAAAAAGTAGGAACAATACGTACATCTGCCATTTCCCTGTCGCACCACAGTTCTCTGTGCCAGTGGGTGCTCCCTACTGAGGAGGAGGAGGAGCTGTTCCCTGGGGAGTCTAGTACTTGTTACATGGATGGCTGGTACTCACTCCCTTTTGTGTCTGCAGCTTGAACGTGAATCGGTTCTCCCCTGCTAACTACGACCAGGCGCATTTACACCCCCATCTGTTTTCGGACCAGTCCCGGGGTTCCCCCAGCAGCTACAGCCCTTCAACAGGAGTGGGGTTCTCTCCAACCCAAGCCCTGAAAGTCCCTCCACTTGACCAATTCCCCACCTTCCCTCCCAGTGCCCATCAGCAGCCGCCACACTATACCACATCGGCACTACAGCAGGCCCTGCTGTCCCCCACACCGCCAGACTATACAAGACACCAGCAGGTACCCCACATCCTTCAAGGACTGCTCTCTCCACGGCATTCGCTCACCGGACACTCAGACATCCGGCTGCCCCCAGCAGAGTTTGCACAGCTCATTAAAAGGCAGCAGCAACAACGGCAGCAGCAGCAGCAGCAGCAGCAGCAACAGCAAGAATATCAGGAACTGTTCAGGCACATGAACCAAGGGGATGCGGGGAGTCTGGCTCCCAGCCTTGGGGGACAGAGCATGACAGAGCGCCAGGCTTTATCTTATCAAAATGCTGACTCTTACCACCATCACACCAGCCCCCAGCACCTGCTACAAATCAGGGCACAAGAATGTATCTCACAGGCTTCCTCAGCTACCCCGCCCCACGGGTATGCTCATCAGCCGGCACTGATGCATTCAGAGAGCATGGAGGAGGACTGCTCGTGTGGGGGGGCCAAGGACAGCTTCCCAGACAGTAAGAGTTCAAGTACATTGACCAAAGGTTGCCATGACAGCCCTCTGCTCTTGAGTACCGGTGTACCTGGGGACCCTGAATCTTTGCTAGGAACTGTGAGTCACACCCAGGAATTGGGCATACATCCCTATGGACATCAGCCGACTGCTGCGTTCAGTAAAAATAAGGTGCCCAGCAGAGGTAAGTGTCTCCTCACAGTGGAAGTCCGGGGCCAGCCTGCCCTAATCAACTGACTCAGTAATGTTAATCGTTTTTCAGTTAGTATTCTGTGTTCCTAACAAAAAAAGAATTTCTGAGAAGAGCTTCAGGACCTCCCTGGGGAGAAGCATATAGGAAGTGGGTGTTGGTGTAGGTGAGGGGCCCATTTTCAAACTCAGAGGACAGTGATACAAAATCATCACTTAGTCAGATAAATGATCTGTCTCCCTCGTTCATACCGCAGTTGCCTGGAATCCAGAAAGTCTTGTCTGCCACCAAAACAGCTAACTTAACTTCTGCAATAGAAAAAAGCCAAACGCGATGTAGAGTAAATAGTGCTGGAACAAGAGTCAGAGCACCTGAATTCTGCTCTGGCTGCTGTCATAAATATGATAACTTCGTCATTTAAAAACTCTGATTCTGATTTTCCTCATCCGTGAAGAAGGTGCTGGAGGAACAGTGGTTCCTTACAGAGTATTGTGGAGTTGAAAACATACATATATGTGTTTGTTTTAACATGATGTTCGTGTGAGAGAGAGAAAGAAGCACGTTCAGATCGTCTGAAATGTATGGTTTCAGTGTACCAATGTGAGGTGTTTTGCTTTGGTCATTTTATCAGTGAGCTAAATGCGGAATGTTACAGCATCGTAAGGGGCCCCATATGGTTTGATTTTGTGCCACTTTAATTAATGAGTATGTTCATTCTCATTCCGAAGGAGATTAAGATTATACTCAGTAAGTTATACTTAGAAAATATAGTTCCATTAGCATCATAGCATTCATCCTAGACAAAAGCAGGAATCTTGCAGGCCAGGCGCAGTGGCTCACACCTGTAATCCCAGCACTTTGGGAGGCCGAGGTGAGTGGGTCATGAGGTCAGGAGTTTAAGATCAGCTTGGTCATCATAGTGAAACTGTCTCTACTAAAAATACAAAAATTAGCTGGGTGTGGTGACACATGCCTGTAATCCCAGCTTCTCAGGAGGCTGAGGCAGGAGAATCACTTGAACCCGGGAGGCAGAGGTTACAGTGAGCGGAGACCACCATTGCACTCTAGCCTGGGTGACAGAGTGAGACTCTGTCTTGAAAAAAAAGAAAAAAAAAAAAAAAAAAAAAAAAAAAACGGAATCTTGGAATTTACCACCCCTCACCTGCCATCCAAGGGAATAAAAAGCAAATGATCCGTAAACTGTACAACCCTGAGACTGAGCAGTGTCTTCTATCCTTCCCTCCCTGGAATTACCTGCAGCTCCTGCCCTGTCCTTTAAAGTCAATGCTGAAAACTCAGCTCTAAGGGGAATTAGCTCCTGCAGCATGGAACAGTAGAGAAGACCTTGCTGTAAAGCAGTGTCTGTGAAGACGACTTGGTGGTGTCAGGTTGTACTCATTCTACACTCTTAGGGAGGAAATTGTTGCCCCAAATGCCAATTAAGTCCTGACCTTTATAGCAGATGGGTGTCATCCAGCCCAGAGGTTGGCACCAGTAAGATGTATTGTGTTCACCTGTGGCTGCTGTGGTCTCAGTGGACATAGAAGGGTGGGAGCTTTCAGAACCAGGTAGTAGGTGGCATGGTTAACAGACCAGATAGTTTTTAGGATTGGGAGGGAAAAGCTAAGAAATATCACACTTATGGAAGTAGAGATTAGATTTTTCTGAGTTCATATTACCGGGCAGAACTAAGATATAGAGGTTGCAGCAAATTTCAACTCCCTGTGGGAAACCCTTATAAGAACTCTCCTGAATAGGCTGCCTTAGCAGCCTGGGAGCTTTCTGACAGAGGTGGGATGATGGTATGGGATTGCTGTGGAAAAGATTCCCCTGCAAACGGACACTTCTAGCAGATAAACACACTATACTTGGCATGAAAAGGAGATGAGCTCACACTTCTATTGTGCTCCCCATGTGCCAGGCACCAAATGCTGTTCATAGATGGATTCATGTAATCCTCACTACAACCCAAGAATAACCAACTCTCATTCCCATTTACCAGTGAAACAGTGGAGGCACAGAGATTAAGTAACTTGTCCCCAAGGTCAAGAGCTAGTGAGTGGCAGCTGAACCTAAGAGTACTCACACTGGCTGTCACTGACACAAGAGATGCTCACCGAGCAAGTGCCGGGTGTGCAGGGCACTGAGGAAGGAGCTCCGCTGCAGCAAAGTGCCTCCGCCCTTCACCCCTGCCCCCGCCTGGGTTACTGTGCACTTTCATTACTTTCATTTTGAAATGTTTTTCTTCAAAAACTGTTTTCCCTAGTTTCTCTTTACCTTCCTTCCTGTGTGACTTGTACGCGTAGGAAGGCTGGAGAGCACAATTCCCCATTGTCCCCTGATTGTCGGAGGAGCCCTTCCTCGGCAGGCACACTCATCTGTTGAGTACCCACTGTTGGTGCAAGTGCTGTGGGCGCACCGGAGGAGGGAGAGGTTAGTTCAAACCCAAGGAATGCGGTCGTGTCCAGCAACAAGTAGATGTGGGTTGGATCCTGATGGATGAAGGACGTTTGCCATTTGGATCTAGAGGAGAAGCAAGAGAAAAGAACAATGGGTGAGACTGTCAGGGAATTTTCCAAGGACAGCAGCAGGCTTGGCTGGTTTGAAGTGCAGTGTACGTGAAGGCAATTGTAGAAGCTAAGGGCAGGGGTTTTCTAAAATGCATCATCTAGATTCAGCTGCATTGTGAAAAGAACTCAAGTTTCTCTTTCTTTCTTTCTTTCTTTCTTTTTTTTTTTTTTTGAGGCAGAGTCTCACTCTGTCACCCAGGCTGGAATACGGTGGCAGGATCTTGGCTCACTACAACCTCCACCTCCCGGGTTCAAGCAATTCTCCTGCCTCAGCCTTCTAAGTAGCTAGGATTACAGGCGTGCACCACCATACCTGGCTAATTTTCTTTTCTTTTTTTTTTTTTTTAAAGAGACAAGGGTCTCACCATGTTGCCCAGGCTGGTCTTGAACTCCTGATGTCAGGTGATCCACCTGCCTCGGCCTCCCAAAGTGCTGGAATGACAGGAGTGAGTCACCATGTCCAGCCTTTTTTTTCTTTTTCAATAGAGATGGGGTTTTACCATGTTGGCCAGGCTGGTCTCAAATTCTTGACCTCAAGTGATCCACCCACCTCAGCTTCCCAAAGTGCTGGGATTATAGGCGTGAGCCACCATGGCTGGCTGTCAAGTTTCTTTTAAAAACTTGAAAGCTTACATTTTAACTTGACCGAAAAATCATCAGATAATTTGCTGTCACTTTTGTCAGGAAAGGCTTATAATACTGTGCCCCTACCACCCTTCAGACAAGTGGGAGAGCTCACTCCTCAACCTTTTTGGCCAGGAAGGAATGCCTGCTGTTTCTTCGAATGATCCCTCCATCTCCGTGTAGGTAGGCACTAGTCCCAGACACTTCAGCTGTTATTCCTGTGGGAGAGCAACTTCAACACATAGAACAACTGTGTTGCACAAGAGTATACTGTAGGTGCTATGGGAATGCAGAGATGAAAGGTTAAAGAACTACCCTTAGGGAGCTTCTACTCTACTTGGGGATGTAAAACAAGCTCATAAACAGCTTTGCTGTGAAGTCCTATGTACCGAGTGTTACAGGAAGTATCATTAAGAAGAGCAGAGCTAGTGTGATCTTCTTAGTATTTCTTAAAGGTGGATGAGCAGGGCTTATTGGTGCTATTTAGTTTACTTTTTGAGCCAGGGTCTTGCTCTGTCACCTAGGCTAGAGTGCAGTGGTGCAACCATGGTTCCCTGCAGCCTCAACCTCCTGGGCTCAAGCAGTCTTCCCACCTCAACCTCCCGAGCAGCTGGGACTACAGGCACGTGCCACTATACTCAGCTTTTTTTTTTTTCTTTTGGTAGAGATGGGGTCTTGCTCTGTTGCCGGGGCTGGCCTTGAACTCCTGGGCTCAAACAGTCCTCCCTCCTTGGCCTCCCAAAGTGCTGAAATTATAGGCACAAGCCTCCACACCCAGCCATGTTGGTATTGGTAAAGGAAAGTTAGATGCCATCATATCAGTGTCCATGGTTACCTATTTCCCTGATGGCTGTTTGCCACCAGCCAAGCCAGTATGAGACCAGGCAGTGTGAGCACTGAACAGGCAGCATGCCAAAGGTCTGTTTCAAATTTGTAGAAGTGTCAGGACTCCACGGCCAGGTACGGTGACTCATGCCTGTGATCCCAACACTTGGGGAAGCTGAGGTGGGCGAATCACCTGAGTTGGGAATTCGAGATCAGCCTGACCAACATGGAGAAATTCCATCTCTACTAAAAATACAAAATTAGCCAGGTGTGGTGGCGCATGCCCGTAATCCCAGCTACTCAGGAGGCTGAGGCAGGAGAATCACTTGAACCCGGGAGGCGGAGGTTACAGTGAACAGAGATCACGCCATTGCACTCCAGCCTGAGTGACAAGAGCAAAAATCGTGTCTCAAAAAAAAAAAAAAAAAAAAGGGCCAGGCGCGGTGGCTCAAGCCTGTAATCCCAGCACTTTGGGAGGCCGAGGCGGGTGGATCATGAGGTCGAGAGATCGAGACCGTCCTGGTCAACATAGTGAAACCCCGTCTCTACTAAAAATACTAAAAAAAAATTAGCTGGGCATGGTGGCGCGTGCCGGTAATCCCAGCTACTCAGGAGGCTGAGGCAGGAGAATTGCCTGAACCCAGGAGGCGGAGGTTGCGGTGAGCCGAGATCGCGCCATTGCACTCCAGCCTGGGTAACAAGAGGGAAACTGTGTCTCAAAAAAAAAAAAAAAAAGAAAGAAAAAAAAAAAAAAGAAGCATCAGGACTTCACATGCCCCATGCTGTCTGTAATCTCCCTGTCTGCCACCCTAGAAGTAAAAATAAGGTTTGGCTTTCTTCTATAGTGTTACATAACACTTGATTTTTTTTTGACTTGCAAATAAATGCAGCAGTATAACCAGTCTACACAGTGAGATTACCAACTGGAGCTCACAAAGAAAACCACATCCTCTTCTCTGAGCTCAGTCAGCCTCA